ATATCAGGCTTCTGTTAATCGTAACAATGATCACAATCTTCCGATCTTATTAAAATCATTGCCCGAAGATTTCCACAGAAAATCTGGTTCCTTGAGTGGACGGGCTTACAATAGAATGGAAACTGAGCCTGGGTTTGACAAACTGGTGCATAATATATCTGGGCTGAAAGGTGCAATAAAACCCCTCATTCGATGGGCTGAGAGACAAATTCCTAAGAAATCACATAAGACTACTTCCCTCATCCTTTATGCTACAGCTGGAGTTCGTCGGCTGCCAAATTCGGACTCAGAATGGCTTCTTAATAATGCTTTGTCAATTTTGAAGAGTTCACCTTTTTTGTGCAAGAGAGAGTGGGTTAAGATTATAACTGGCGTGGAGGAAGCTTATTATGGATGGATTGCTTTAAATTATCACATGGGTGTATTGGGGGCTACACCCAAAAAAGAAACATTTGGTGCCCTTGACCTAGGTGGCTCGTCATTACAGGTTACTTTTGAGGGCAAAGAAGCTGCTTATGACGAAACTAGCTTAAAGCTGAGAATCGGCCCGGTTAACCATCATCTCACTGCCTATTCTCTATCAGGATATGGGCTTAATGATGCATTTGACAAATCTGTAGCTTATCTTTTGAAGAGGCATCCTGCCATAACTAATGCAGATCTAGTTAGTGGAAACGTTGAAATTAAACATCCATGTTTGCAGTATGGTTACAAAGAGAAATTCACGTGTTCACATTGTGCTTTTGTCCGCGAAGAAGGTGGAAGTCCTGCACAAGGAGAAATATTGGGTAAAGGAGCAAAAGCTGGGATCCCGTTTCAGCTTGTTGGGACCCCAAACTGGCAAGAATGTAATGCGCTAGCAAAAGTTGCTGTTAATCTGTCTGAATGGTCAGATCATAGTCCGGGAATTGATTGTGAGTTGCAGCCATGTGCACTTGCAGACAATCTACCTCGTCCTTTTGGACAGTTCTACGCTATGTCTGGCTTCTATGTTGTGTACCGTTTTTTCAATTTGACTCCTGATGCTGAACTAGACGACATTTTAGAGAAGGGTCAGCAATTTTGTGAAAAAACATGGGATGTCGCCAAAAAAAGTGTTGCACCTCAGCCTTTTATAGAACAGTACTGCTTCAGGGCACCGTATATTGTGCTCCTACTGAGAGAAGGATTGCACATTACTGATAGGGAGGTGATTATTGGTTCTGGAAGTATTACTTGGACACTTGGGGTTGCTTTGTTGGAAGCCGGAAAGGCATTTCCAAACAGGGCAGAGTTTCATAGATACAACATATTCCAGATGAAGATAAATCCATTTCTTCTTTATGCCATTTTATTTGCTTCAGTGTTTGCCCTTGTCTGTGCATTGTCTTGCGTTGGAAATGGGCTGTCAAAGTTCTTTCGAAGGCCATATCTCCCACTTCGCTGGGAAAACAGTGTGGCATCTACATCAGTTCTCAATATTTCATCTCCTTTCCAGTTTCAGCATTGGAGTCCTATAAATACTGGTAATTCCTCTTCCTGGACGCAGAGCATATTGGGTTAAGCTTAAGATGTAAAGTTTAACTTTTGGTTTCGAAACATGTTTGGATATGATACTTTTTTCTTACTTAAATGTTAAAAAGTTACTTATTTTGAAAGTGACTCTTATTTTACTGTCAAATTGTAACTTATTTCCAACTTTGACCAATAGAAAATTTATTTGATTAAAAACTTATTAGCAAACTTTCTAAGCTTTGCAAAAAGTGCTCCTAATTCCATACTTTTTTAAGGCTTGATTTACTAGTCTTGTATATAAAATGTTTATAATGATTCAGGGGACGGAAGAGTTAAAACACCATTAAGTCCAACAATTGCAGACACTCAGCGAAGACCATATGATAGTGGACCTGGTTTCAGCAGTAGTGGCATCCAGCTCAATGAATCTTCCTTCTATTCATCGTCTAGCAGTGTAGCACATAGTTATTCTTCAGGCAACTTAGGACAGATGCAATTTGACAGTGGTAACGTGGGTTCCATCTGGACCCCTCACAGAAGTCAGATGCGTCTACAAAGTAGAAGATCCCAATCTCGAGAAGACCTTAATTCTTCACTTGCAGAGGCATACACGGCTAACGTTTAAGGCTGTTTCTTCAACTCGTCTCAAGTAAATTGCCAAGTTTGAGAAAGTATTTCCCCACTGATACGGAGAATGTATTCTCTGAACTCTGTTCTATCTTGATGCTCTTGGTAGAGTCTTCTTAGTCGAAGGGCTCCCGAAATGTTTTAGAAATTGCTTTTTGTAACTGGATATAAAGAAATGATAAACGCCTACGAGGAAGTGGATGAGTTAGTAAAGAAGAGACTGCTGGTGGAGAAAGGTTCTTGTTCAGGTGTTAATAGAACACTCATTTGCGTTAGGTGAGACATCAACTAACTCGCTTCAGCTAAGAAGCTATCACTGGAAAAATCAATTGCAGAATCGGGTTCATCCACTGTAAACAAGTTCCGAGGAAGGATTCATCTGTTCAATTTTGCTTGTCACCATGAAGATGTTGATGGCATATGCCTATTGGTTTCAGTCATAAGGTATATGCTCCGCCGAGAATCATTGATCTCACTGTTTAATTATTGTACATTTTACCTTGACGTAAAAAGATTAGTTTCATTTGTAATACAATTTTAAGCCGATTTCGAAGCATTTAGTTTTCTTTTTTACTTCTGGTATATGGTAGGAGTGATCGAATTAGAAAAAAAAAACCAACTTGGTGGCTAATTCATCAGTTCGTAGTTGGGATAGAGTTATTTGATAATTGATACTGGTTTATGATGTTTAACAGCAAAGGATCACATGTTTTATAACTGCTGTTTTTTGGGCACTTTTGCAGACATCTTTTTGAGTGCTTCTGAATTTTTTGTCAAATTTTTTCCATCTGTATTGGCTCAAATAAGGTACTTGCATTTTGACCCTCCCCACTATTTTATGTTTTAAATGGAAAATTGAATTAACGGTTGTGCTACATTTATATAATGACTAGTCAGAGTTGAACATGCATTGCACGTTATTCTGAAATACTTTATTAGTACTGTAAAGGTAACATTTGATCCTCCATTTACCATTTTGATCTAAATATAAGATAAATGCAAACTTCTGAAAGTAAATATTAATTATTATATATGTACATAAATAGTGAAATTTATATTCACATGTGAGTGTTAGAATTATAATTAAATGCATAAATGAAAATTGATGGCAAATACGATATAAATGTTAATTAATTTAAAATTAATACCAAGGAATATATATATACTTAACAATGAATGTTAAATCATTTATATTAAATGAATATAATTTAATTTCCAATTAAGTTAAATTGGATGTTAATTAAAATACATGGACGTAAATAATGAACTACATTATTAAATGAGAAATTCTAATTAATATTAATTAAATAAATGTGAACTTTAATTAATTATTAATAACAAAGACATGGACGCGAACTTCTAATTAATATTAATTAAATGAACGTGAATGTTAATGTTAATTAATCGAGAATTAATTATAGTATTTATTACAGTTTATAAATTAAATACATATTGAAAAACGAAAAATATGATGTTATTGAAATAATTGAATTGTAGTAGAGACGACACATGATGTGGTAAAACATGATTTGGTCAAAATTTCTTTAAGACATAACAAAAAAAAA